CAAGATAGGGAAGAGCGCTTCTTCCCGAACGTAGGTAGCTATGTCATTTAAGCCAGGCTTAGACGTCGGGATCGATTTCAAATATACAAATGACGTATCGTCTCACGAGTGACAACGTCCAAGAGTCCCGCGTAGGTTGTTGAGAGGGTAAAGATTTTCATAGGAAAATACGTCTGTGTACTTATAGTAGAACGTACGTGTAGACACAGAAACCAGAGTCGTCAAAGTTCAGATTGTAGCTGAAGCCTGAAAGCGACTCCAGCCTTGACAAAAGGCCTAAACGTGATGCGTCAAGAAGGTACACAAATCTTAATGCCTCCTCTCTGCCAAACTGGATTCGGCTTCTCAGACTTCCCCGAGATCGTAAGAATTCGCTATCAAATTGAGATGTCTCTTCTCCAGTGGTAATACTCAAGACAAGAGAGAATTCTAGTCCCGAGCGCCTTGCGTAGTGATCGGGAAAGAACCCAACCCCGGGCTGCCAAATCCCCACCTGCCTAGCAGTTCCTCTGTTCTCAGCGAAGATCGAGTTGTTCCAGACCCCTGTATACTGGAGGATCATCTCAGCGAGGAAGAAGACGACAACGAGCGCTCTTCTAGCTCTTCCAGACCATATAGGACAAGATTCGCGGCATCTTCGTGGCCACTTAAGTATCAGTCCAAAGCAGGTTCTACGGAGCTTATGACATGATCACAGCACAGAATTACAAGATGACGCTGATACTGTCTGGAAAACACTCGTAGTAGACCGCGATGCATATGGAAAGGCACCGCCAGCTTAGTATCACGGAGCTTATATAACCTGTCTTGTATCCGACATCAGCGCTGGGAACATTGACACGAATGCGATTTTGTAGCAAGACGAAGCTGTGACGATGCTCAAGACAGACTATCTCAAAAGAGTACAGGCTGTCTGTTGGAACAGGAAGTATATTGAATGCTAGGGTTAAAATGCTCCGTCCCCTGCGTTCTTCGGCCCTTCTGGAGCGAGAGAAGGCGTGGAGAGCAGCATTCTTGTTGCGAGCTTGTAGAAGAGACGTTCATGTTGGGACAGATGGACAGTAAAGCACTCGACGACTTGACTGTGGAGGAGCTGGCGGGAGAGGACTTTCGTTTAATGTGAAGCGCAACATACCCACATACCACTGTCAAGTTTGATAAGCAATTCACTTTTACACCTAAAAACTTATTCAATAGAACCGGTTTTAGCGAGTCCTGGAACGCAGTTAGCTCCGACTTAGCTGTTCTTGGTGCAAGAGCTTGACGAAGCCGGAAAGTTCGGCTTATGATGTAATAGCCTTTTAAGAGTCAAACATGTCACCACACAGACCCGCCGAGGCAGACCACATCCGTCACACCACGAACAACCCCTTCTCCACGGACATCCGCAACATAAAACATCAATTCGGACTACTACCTACCTCTCTTCCAGTCGTTGCTTCGGACATTAAACAAGTCGATATTCTAGACTTTTTCTAGCCCATCTTCCTCCCGAAACTCATTACCATACACGAACTACATCTCTCTTGTACACACGAGTCATGTTTCTCTCAAACAGAGCGCCTGAGAAGGCCCTTCCCCGCTTCCAGACAAATACGCCACTGGATTCAACATTCGACAAGGACATTCGGGATACGCATCTCATCTATGACTATGACGCCGAAGACGCGGAGGGCAACCCGGAAAAGTGGCGTTACGAAATGTGGTTCTTCTCCGAGGACCGCGTCGTCTACGCCATCCACGGCGGGCCCATGAACGGCCGCATAAACTACCAGACGGCGACTTATCAATGCATCCGGCCCGGCGAATTGTGGCAGGTGAATTGGTTGGAAGAGACGGGAACGGTGTGCTCCTTGGTGTACGACATTCCCAAGCAGAAGATTTCGACTCTTATTTCGTTCTCGAGAGGGCACTGGGAGAACCCTCAGGCGGCGCACGGTGACAAGCGCAACCCGGGAGACTTTGCGAGATGGAGAGTCCTCTCGAGATTTGGAAACCAAACAGATAGGTTCATGTTGTCTGAGCAGGCGGATATTGTCGAAAATTTCAAGGGAAGAGGGGATCTTGTACCGATAGAGGATCATGCGAAAACGTTCTGAGTCTTTTCTCCACGCGCGTGTGCTTTTATGTTAGCAACTGTATAGGCAAGAGCCGGAGTTAAATCAAAGATCCATGTGCTTTTACGCAAAAGATTGTCAGTCTATACGAGACCGGAGCTATCGACCACACAATGCGGTGTATTCCACCAGCTGCTAGATGGCGTGAATACATATACACGTGTGTTTTAACGAATGATTTCTCAATCTGACCCTAATTCCCTTACATCTGCCTATAAATGAATTCGAAATAGACCAGAGTACCTCAAGAGAAAGATTGGAGACTGGATGGATGTAGTAACGCCATCTAGCAGTTGAGGGGACCGTTGACCATTCCAAATTGTCCTATGTCCAGATGAGCCATGCCCTTAAACTGAGCCACCGTGCACAGTATCGTCCTATAATCCTATTCGCCCCCTTGTGTTAAGGTCAAGTCCTGTCTATCGGCACACCTTCGTTCTACCGATAGATGGATCATTCTCAACAACACATTTCAGACCAACGCAACATCTTGTGAAGAAAGGGTCGTTGTCGTTACAAAAGTCTCTTCAATATTTAGAAAACCGCCTGGAAGATGAAGACAGAAGACGAGGTAAAGACTTACCATCAGCGGTTCTGCAGTTTTCTTGGCGTTTAAACAGGTCACCTCCATCGCCATCGAGCTAATGTGTATCAGTAACCCATGAGATCCTGGCTGTGTTCCTGTTATTTATGTAGGCTTACCGAACGAGGTACAGCAGCCGAGACAACGGCGGCGAGTGCTGCAAGAATGGTGATACTGATGGACTTCATGGCTTTGACTTCTAGTCTCTAGAGCTTATGAGTACCTTCGGAATTGCGTAAAGTAGGCGAGATGAGACCAGAGAAACGTCAGTTGAGAGACTTTGAGATAACTGAATAAGCTTGTGATTGATGATTAAAAGAGTTCTGCTTGTTCGGGTGGCAGTTGATCGCTTGCTTCATATTTAGTTCCTAGAGCTGAAATCCGCAGACATCAGCTAACTAGGCCTGACATACTGGCGCAAGGACTCGGAAAAATCGTGGGTTCAGTGTCAAAGATGGTATCAAACATGCCTGGGTGTAGTTATCACGAATAGTATTGTCATACCAAGCGGCCGGTAAAGTCTAATATCAATGAGGGCATCCATGAGCGAGACTGGAAAGTGCACGCCAACTGAAGTGTTCAGTTGGGAAAGTGATTATGCCACGCATGAGAATCTGGCCGTGACACGATTAGCCTTGCATCAGCTCCCACAAACGGCGATGCCGGGCTAAGCCTCTACGTCGCTTTCGGTTCAATGTGTTGAGGGTTCTCTGAAACAGTCGTCTGAGACCGCAAAGTTTAACCACCACCTCGGATTAGTATTCAAGGTCGACGCTGTAGGAAGACGGTGGAATTGTTTTCCCGTTGTCATATCGCTACTAAGAGTCGTTGAGTTCGCGGTGGCATTTCATTTCAGCGGAGCATATCGAAGTTTTGCATCCATCGCCGTCGGGGTGAATAGAAATCAGGGTCTTCTTTCCTTTGTCCAAATGTTATGACGGGATTGTATTACTAGCTACCAGTGAAACCGATGTTTGTGCTATTATTGACAGCAGACAATACTCTACTCCAACCTGTAAACCCATGCCTTTTGGGGCGACAAAGTCCCCTGTATGATATTCTCCCATGCTTTCTCAATTCCATTTGTTCCTCCGACGCCACTTCCCCAAACCAGCTCGAGGTCTGCTACGCTCCCATCTTCAAGGAACCTTCGGAACGTTGATTCGGCGCCGTTGAAGTATTTATCGGCACCCTCTGTAGCAATTCCAGCATCTACAATACCCGTGGTGTTGAGCAGAACAAGTCCCCACTTCTTGAATATCTCCATCGCCTTGAGGGTTTCCTCTGGTGCCATGATCTTTGGCTCTCCTCCGACTTGGATATTGGTAAACACCGTTGACTCCGGGAGTGTTGCCTTAATAGCTTCGCGGAATTCTTCTGTCGCTTTCGGGCGACCACCAAAGTCAGCAACGACCACGCGTTTGGGTTGCAATTTGGCGATCCAGTCCATGATGTCTTTCGTGGCAAGCTCGTTGTAGTTGACTGTCTTGATCTCGAACGATGCCTTAGGCCCGGCTTTCAAAGACTCTGGCGCAGACGTAGCTTGAAGGAGAGCCAAAGGCCCACCACCTGACTTTCTGTCCCTAGTCAGGTTCCAAGAGAATGACCTGCCCGTACGGCTAGACGCCGAAAGATTGACTACCACGGCTGAGCTCAGGTCCGCATCCTTTTCGGTCCACTCCCCAGCTCCCGCGCCGAGAGGATGAACAGGCTTGAAATCCGTGGCGAAAGTGAAGCGGTTCATGACATAACCGCAATTCCAGATGGGAGAGACGTTGGCAAACCACGCCCGAAACTCTTCCGACTGAGCAGACTCGTCAACGAGGTTGTAGCGGTTGTACATGCTCCCGAGTCCCTGTCTGTGTTCGCTGACCTCGCGGAAATGGCCCTTGGGTTCGCTCGGGATGAGAGAAAGGTCAACTGGATGAGAAGAGGTGGGCCAGTACCCGTACAGCAGGCTTTTGGCCGGGATGCCCTCGATATTGGACTCGAGCACCCGTGCAAAGCCCCACGCCGGAACGATGCCCCATTCGGTCCGGTTGTTGTACGGAGTCGGCGCATCCAGAGGAACGGGCCATGTGTTCCACCATTGCAGCATGTCGCCCAGCTTCGCATACGAAAGATTGTTGCTCGTGATCCCGATGAGCGATGTGCGGACGCGAATAGAAGAGACGCCTAGCTGCGGCAGTGCCAGATCAACTGCAACTGTCTCATGTTTCGAGAGGTCTTGCTTGGAAATAACGTGAATTTCGGATACCATTTTGGCTGATGTTTGCTGGCCTAGGCCTACGTGTGCGATGTGTCTTGTTGAGGCTGCGGGCTACTTTTCTCGGTGTCGTTGAAGCAGAAGATTCAAGCACAACTAACGGTCAAAGGAATCGACGTAATATATCGCAGATGCGGTCAAACTCTATCCCGGCATTGTCTTACATCAGCCCGCAGTCAGCTTAATTGGGAGATCCAAAAGTTCCTTAGTTTGTCTGAAACGTCACCCCACCAACCCATTACCTTGCGTCCAGGATCACCCAAGATGGACGGGACGTCAGCATCAGACGAATCCTTTACACTATTATCCTACAAATTGGCAACAAGTCCCAAAGACCGAGGATTCCGACAATGGCCAAAAGAATCAAATTTAGGTTGTCAATTGAGTCATCAGCAAGCCGCATAAGTAGGGAAGTTGGGGAGCGGGGTAAGTCAGCGCTACTTACGGCAGACTGCAAGAGGCACTCCGCCAAAACACTTTTTTCATGCGTCAAAGCAGAAATCGAATTTTACAGTCACCCCACCACCGATTATTAAACTTTACACTAGTGAGATAAACCATAGATATGGTTTACGTAGAATTACGGCTTGAGACATATCATCGATTGAACTTATCCCATCGAGTGCGGATTAACGTCAAAAACGCCAAGGCCAGAACTACCCAATATTGTACCCACTTTTACTCCGCACTTCAATGAGTACATGACGAAACATCATTTGAACCTTTGTTTTCTTCCTTACTGTCACCACTAAAATCATCATTTTGTTTAATGCCGCGATGTCTTCTAGCGATTCCGATGTCTCAGGGGCTTCCGGGGCTTCCGTACGGAGCTGTATTATGGTTGAGCCCCTTCCTGAAGACCTCGCCGTCGCTTGCACTGCCGATTGTACGCCGGAGCGGTGCGATAACAGCACAGTCCGGCCCCACGAACCCCCGGCCGTTGAAGGCGGGCGGCCGGGCACCTTCAGACCCTTTGACGTACCCGCCCGGGGCCGAGGGATACGGGACCTACCGGCAGCCCCGCTTGACCTATTTCTCCAGTATGTCCCCCGGGACCTTGTTGAGCAGTAGGCGTAATAGACGAATACGGCGCCGTTATCTAAGGAAGGCCCCCGGGCTAAACGGTCAAGAGTTTATGAGTAGAGAAAGACCTCTGTAGAATAGATTTACCTCTTCTTAGGAATCCTACTTTATATAGGGATTTATAATGAATCTGGATATTCGGCATATCCAACATATCCAGACAAAGTGGACTGTTCAGCACTGTTCAGTTAGGATCGGACTTGTATATAAGGATGGACTCGAGCTGGGCTCTAGGACAGACTTTCCATAGCTTCTTCAGCAATTAACTTCGTATCAGAATTAACATCCGCTTTCAGCTACTACCTTGACAAGACTACGACTGATCACCGAAGCCTTACCCACCCTTACGATTGACAGACATAGTTTCCTTGAAACTATTCCACGACTACGATTACTGTTACCAGTTCCGCAGCCTCAACTTCTGCAAACTACCCCTACGACTAGCTGGCCGTAACAGAGGTGTAGGCGTCCGTAAACGTACATCAAGCTTTTCAATAACATGCTCTGGGTTCCATAGTGAGATTCCAGCGCCTTTAAAAGCAGTCCTAATGTTTTCTTTATTAAAAACTTTGTTGTGGGCCTGGTAGAAGGCAATAAAGAACTCCGACTTGGTGATGTGGTTTATGGAGGCTTTGATGAATAGATTGATTTCATCACCATATGCGCGTTTTAAAGGCGAATAAAGGGCAATATCTAATAGCTGTAGTAGATGTGACGAATGTGTAGGCATACTGACGGTTATAATATTGTTCTGCTTGCAGTAATTGTCGAATTCGGCCGATACATGGCTCTCGTGGCCGTCGATAATAAGCATCCGGTAGACGCCCTTCGTTTGGTTCTTAGTATGTTTGTCGAAGTGTTTAATCTAGTCAAGACCCGTCTGATTATCCGTCTATCTATTATTGGTAGGTTTGATAACCTAGTCGCTAGGAAAACCTGATTCCGTGGGCTAACTAGCAAGGTGATATACGCCTTTGATAATCACGAACGGAGGGATGCACCACCCGCCCGAATTGATATAACGTACTTGATAAGCGAGCTGCCCACCTAACCATGATCACATTATAAATCTAAATAAGGAGCAACACTAAAAACATAAAATCAATTGAAACTACTCTGAATCCTATTCCTCAGATATTTCTTCATTAAACTGATATGTTCGCGCATTGTGGCCAGTGTTTCCGCAGACGCCATATCGCCGTTGACCTGTTTCTGTCCTCGGCCGATGACCACTACTCTGGCGCGTTTCCTCCTTAATCTGGGCCGTAGCCTCTCTCTGCGATTGAATGTCCTCTGCCTTAGCTACAGTAAGACTTCCTCCTTATCTGAGACGTGTTTTCTTAGCCCTCCTGCGTCGGCTAAGTAGGTTATTTTCCTCCCGGAGGATCTGGACCTCCGACCTTAGTAAGGTAATCTAGTGTATAAATCCCCGCGCTCCCTTTAATAAATGCTCTATAGCTTTAATCATTGAAGTTTGGGAGCTATTTTGATAGCGGGAGATCCTCCTTTTGATGAGTTCGGACTGAGAAGAGGCCTTTGTTGGGTTATTTGGCGTCTGAGAAGTCCACGCGGGGGGTGTTGTTGGTAGGGACCCTGGGGGTGTTGGAGTGTGTAACTTGACATCAAGCTTCGAAAGTACACTTTCGGCACTCAAAGGAACAAGCCCGGCCCCTCTGAAGCCTCCCTGGATGTTTTTTACCGTTAGGGATTGCGTGAAAGCGTTGTGAAATGCAGGGAAGAAGTCCTCCTTCGTAATATGGGTATTACCCCGGCGCATCTTATCCTCAATTTGTCGACCATAAGCCGTCTTTAGTGGCCCAAAACACCCAACGTCTAACGGCTGAAGTAGATGAGACGAATGGGCCGGCATGCAGAGTGTGACGATATTGTTTTCCTTAAAATATATCTCAAAGTCTGCAGAGTGGTGACTTTCGTACCCATCGACGACGAGGAGGCGATACCTGCTAGTTGTATGCGGTTTTGTATGCCGATCAAAGTGCTGGAGCCAGTCTAGGCCTCTTTCATTTGTTGTCCATCCGTTTTCAGACGTTGCAATGACCTAGTCGCGTGGGAGATCTGTTTTTATATACCAGGTAGAGAGGTGATATTGGCCTACAACGATGATGTACGGCGGAACGCTATAGCTTAACGAACTGATGGTCTGAATGACTATAACCCATTCAAGATTGCCAGGCTGCATCATTTTTGTATTTGAACGCCTTTCGGCACTCGTGACGACCATCCCGGATACAATCTGGCCCATCATAAACCCAGTCTCGTCGAAGTTATAAATATCGGAGTCTATAATGCCGTATTTCGCAATTATGTTCGCTACAAGCCGAAACCACGCGTTTATCACGTCTGGATCTTCGCATTAGGCCCTCTTATAGTCGTACTTACGAAAAAAGCGCATCCGGAGCTATAGTTATCGTTTAACGAAGTTTGAAGCCCAGCGCTTCCCAACTGGGGGCACGTCGCGGTCGGCGAGCAATCGATTAGCCATTTCTTCCACACCACTGATCCGGGGAGGAAACTATCGGGAACCTAGGTCGAGAATATACTCAACTAGCTTCTCCTCTTCAAGCTCCGTCAATTTGCGTGAGTTAGGTATAGTATCTTGTCGTGTAGGTGTCCCTTTTAATCGGGTACCTAGGGTCCTAGGGGCGACTGAATAGATTCTTGCTGCGGCTCGAATGCTGAGTTTAGGGTTTTTTTTTTGGATAGCCTTGACTGCTAAGTTCAATTGGGCCTCTTTGCTTTGTGACGACAAGATTATTTGTGGCGTGATACGCATTAGAAGTGAGGAGGAAGGATGAACGCGGTTGGGTGGGCAGCTCGCTTGTCTGGGCAGCTCGCTTATCAAGTACGTTATTCAATGAATGTAGCCTATTTACGGTTGCCAGGCTGGACAGACTTTGCTTTGCCGCGTCGATCAGCGCGTGTTACTACTATTGACGCGGTGATTATGCCTATCATAAAGCTAGTTTCGTTGAAATTATATAGGTCCCCCTCTTGGATGCTATACTTGGCCATTATATTGCGTAATAGCGCAAACTACTTTGATATAACCTTAGGATCTTTTTGAAGAGCCCTTTGATAATCGTATGGACGATTTAACTTGGTTTTCAGAGCAGGCTGCGAGTCCACAAACCGCCTGGCCTATCGCTTGCCAGTAGGCTTGCCATTATGCGCTCGTAGCAGGAGATTGGCCATATCTTCCACACCAGGGAGACGCAAGGGAAACCCTCTTTGATCCTGCTTAATAACGTATTGGAGAAGCGCTTTCTCTTCGATGGTATTGAGTTTATGTTGTTGGGGTTGGGCATGTTCGCGTCGGGGTCGATCGTTCATTCTATAGCGTACGGAACTTTCGGGGACACCGTAAGTCTTCGCAGCACGTAACACACTTAGTTTTCGGCCGGCGGTGCGGGCTGATCGAATAGTCTCGATGGCTAGAAGTATCTTGTCTTTTTGTGTGTAAATTGGCATAATGGTTGTGGAGTTATTATGCGTCAAAGGTTGGAGTGGTTTAATGCAAACCGCATTTGGGAAAAAGTTCGTCGCTGACTGATATTCGTCGCTGACTGATGAACTACGTTAACCTTATAAAACTATTAATAATAGGAACGACGATATCTTTTAAAGCCATCCCGACCACCTCTTCTAATAACTCTAAAAGTAAGGCCCTTATACCTACTAAAACCCTAAATAAAGAAATAAAAGACGCTAAAGACTTAAAAAAAGAACTAGATTTCAATTATAAGGTCTATAAAGGCCTATAAAATAAGTTTAAGAAGAACGACTCTAATATTACCACTATATAGTTAGTAGATACTTAATAATACTATTAAACAACTTGAAACTAAAACCTAGGAAGTAGACTATCTTATTAAGAAGATTAATACCTCCATACTACCTCAAATATTATTATTACGCTATATAACGGATTAAAAAAGCTTAAGCTTAACTTACTTCAAGCCTTTAACGGAACCCTAGGATAACTTAAGGGATTCATTATATAAGTTAGAGCCTATTAACGCTTCTATAAAATAAACTTTAAAAATAAAGCCGAGAAAGTTATCTATGCCGCCTCTTTTTTAAAAGAAAAAGCTCTTATATAGTTCGAACTATATCTGTCACGGGCTGGAGCCCTGTGTGGGCTTAGGCTACGTCGTAAGCCTTACGAGCCGTGCACACGTACTTAAGTGCAGCAGAATGAACAGAGAGGGATCTGTTCATTACGTACCTTTTGGCTGAATAAGCCCGGGTGCGCATTTAGCGCAATGGTTTGTTGTGTCTGCTGCCACATTTGCCCTTGCGGGGCCCAC